TATGTGCCATTGAGTCACTTGCGACTCATAGCGACCCTATGTACAACAGCCCTAAACTCTGCTCTGTTCTGTGCCAATCACACCATCTCCAATACACCCATCCCAATTACCCCAGTCACTGAATCAATCCACCTCATAGAGGGCCTTCCCTTCCTGCGCTGTCCCTCCACCCTACCAAGCATGATGTCCCTCTCCAAGGACCGGTCCCTCCTTACAACATGTCCAAAGTATGTTAGCCAGAGCCTCAGAATCCTTGCCTCCAAGGAGCTGCTTGGTTTAACCCTTTCAGGATGAATCTGTTTGTTTTCCTAGCAGTCCATGGTACCCTCAATACTCTTCTCCAGCACCACAGCTCAAAGGCATCAATTCTCCTTCTATCCTCCTTGGTCACTGTCCAACTCTCTGATGCATAACAAGTGATTGTGAAGACCATGGCCTGTATCAGAGGCACCTTAAGTCTCCAGAGAGACACCATTGCTCTTCAGTACTTTGGAGAGGTCCCTAACAGCAGACTTTCCCATGACAATATGTCTTTTAGTTTCCTGGCTACTGGTGCTGAGAGTGTTGACTGTGGAGCCAAGCAAACTAAAGCTGTGAACAATCTCAATCTCTTCACCATCCATTCTGATGCTTCCAATTAGCCCAGTGGTGAGAATCTTTGTCTTCTTGACATTGAGCCTCAATCCATATTGGAGGCTGCAGTCCTTGACCCTCTGCATATCTGTGTGTTTGTATATATTTCTGTATACATATTATGTGTGTGTGTGTGCACATATATTTTTCCTCACTTTTTCATCCCCAGTGTAGATCATATCTGATTAAAAATGTCACATGTCAACCCATTTCATTTTGCCAATGCCTAGTAAGTCAATATTTATGTATCCCATTTCTTCCTTAATGATCTCCAAGTTTCCTACATTCATATTTCTCATATTCCACCTTCCAATCAGTAGTATCTGTTTATGACTGTTCCTCCTCTTTTGTGATTCTCAGTGAGAAGGTTCTTCCGCTGGTGCCATATCTGCTAGTCTAAGTATTCTCTATTATGCATAGGGTTTTCTGATACCTGTTAATCGTGCTTATGTGAAAAACGTACATGGACCAGGAAGCAATAATCACAGCAGAACAGGGAAACATGGCATGTTTCAGTATCAGGAAAGTTGTGCATCTAAGATGTGTCCTGTCTCCATACCTTTTCAATCTATATGCAGAACAGATAATTTGGAAGGCTGGACTTTATGAAGAGAAATGTGGCATCAGGATTGGAGGAAGACTTATCAATAGCCTGCATTGACACAACCTTGCTTGCTGAAACTGAAGAGGCCATGAGACATTGCTGCAGAAGGTCAAGGACTGTAGTCTTCAGTATGGATTGACACTCAACATAAAGAAAACAAAGATTCTCAGCACTGGGCCAATTAGTGACTTCATTATAGACAGACAAGAGATTGTGATTGTTGATAATTTCAGTGTGCTTGGTTCCACAATCAACACTCTTACTACCAGCAGTCAGGAAATCAAAAGATGAATTGCATTGGGAAAATCTCTGTCAGGGACCTCTATAGAGTACTAAAGAACAATGATGTCATTCTGGAGACTAAGGTGTGCTTATCCAGGCCATGGTTTCACAATTACTTGCTATGCATCTGATAACTGGATAATAACTAAGGATGATAGAAGGATTGATGCCTTTGAGTTGTGGTGTTGGAGAAAAGCGCTGAACATACTGTGGACTACCAGGTGAACAAACAGTTTTGTCTTGGAGAGGATGAAATTAGGCTCCTCTCTGGAGGCAAAGATTTTGAGGCTCTGTCTCACATACTTTGGGCACATGGCCAGTAGGGACCAGTGCTTAGAAAGGGACATCATGCTTAGAAGAGTGGAACACCCAGGATGAGATGGATTGATTCCAGTACTGGGGTAATGAGATTAAGTTTGTCAGAGACGATGAGGTTGGCTCAGGATTGAGCAGGGTTCAGAGCTAATGTACATAGGATCACTATGTCAATGTCACATAACAACAAGAACAACATATGATACAAATACGTATATGATGCATGCAAATATATATATGATGCTTGCAAATATATATATATGACATCTACAAATACACATATATGATGTCTGCAAATATACATATATAATGCCTGCAAATAGATATATATGATCCATGGACATATATATATATATATATGATCATGTGTGTGTATATATATATGATCATGTGTATATATGTGATCACACACATATATGATCACACACATATATGATCACGCACACATATATGATTATATGTATATATAATGCACATAAAATAAATATATAGCATATTTCTGGAAACACTCTCTAAACATTGATAAATGTCGAAAGTTGTAGAGGTGCTTCAGGCCTTTTTCTCAACTCAAAAGCAATCAACAACTACATATATATATAAAAA